CCCCCCCATTCTTACTTGATTTGTGGCCTTTTTTAGGTTTGCCCTGTTTGCCCCTAGGGACAGGTGCAGGAATCTCTTCCTCCTCTTGGGGCATCTGTGCAACCTTCTGCAGGAAAGCCTTCTCCAGAGACTGAGCCATCAGGACGATGTCATCTGTTGGCTGTAATAAACAGACGACTATGAGATCACATGGCAGTCTCTAGACGATAGCACTGATGCGAGTAATTGCTCCATAATAGCCTGGGTAGAAGACCTGAGCAACTTGATGGTGAACAACAAAATAAATCCAAGCTCTGAAAAGGTCAGAGCGCTCACAGAACTTTTTACCTAGAAATAAACGAACTGACTGACCTTGTTGTAGATGTAGCAGTTGGTAAACATGGTGTTGAAATCCTGCAAGCATTCGCTGGCACTGCGGTAATAATTGTGTTCCAGTCTTCTCTTGATAGTCCCCATATCCATGGGCTGTTTAATGATTTTGAAATAATCCTGCATGAGACAATACAAGTCATTATTAAGTCAGAAAAACACATGCTTGAGTTTAGACCCATAACTTGCGGAATAACATGCCATCTTGTTTAATATTTAAACACAGAGCATAATAACAAGTCCCCCAAACAAGAACAAACTTACAGGCAGGTTGAGCTTGGAAGCGTCCACCGGCTCATGGAAAGGCCAGGCGAAGTGATGCCTCCACAGCGTCTTCTGCAAAGCCTTCTGGAGGAACTGCAGTTGGTTGGTCATGCGGCCCTGACGAGCGGGGTCCCGCACAAGGGTTTGAGGGGGCCCGGATTGAGGAACCTGGGGAAGGGCAGGTCCTTCAAAGCCCTCATACAGCAGCGACGGCTTGCGGATGCGTTTGCCGGGAGTGGAGATGGTATGCTCCATCATGGTGACCCCCTGCATGCCGTCGCCCCCGCCCAGAGAGCTGCGGAGAACAGGAAGACATGGGTGAGCCATGTAGATAATAAACAAATTGCCAAACTATACATAGAAACGGAATAATGACCAACTTTGTGACTAAATGTGATGAAACGTGCATTAAATATGAAAAGTCAACATAATCACAGTAGACTCATCATGACTCAAACTCGATGACTAAATAGTGCATTTTGCTTATGAGGACCAAGCATGAAGACACAACTGCCCCTGCAGCAATCTATCTGTCCCGGCATGGGTGAGTTATGCAGGGACACATTCCAAACCCATACACCAGTCCTGCTGGAAAATGGGGG